TTTTGAATAAAGTTTTGAAGAAAAGAAAATACATGTATAGTTATATACTGAACATATACTTGAATAAATATATGTCTAATTGTAATATTGTTTTTTAAAAAAACTTTTACAAGACACTTTATCTCATGATGTTCTTTTTATATTTCATGTTGCTCAGTTATATTGTAATGATGTTATCTATGGTGCCTGTTCCAACAAAAATACTTATACTTATTATTACTATTATTATTATTTGAATTGATCATAGGTGTCATTCTGATTTTGTTGCCATGACTTTTTAAAATGATAATTTGTTTTTAAAAAATCTGAAAAAATAGCTTGCAACAAGAAAAAAGTTTATTTGCACAACAACAACAAAAATGCAATGCAATTTAAATATAGAAGTGCATTGTCCCAAAAAAATAAAAATAAAATAAATAAAGACTATAAATTTGTGCAGAAAACGTCTCCACAATGCAGGAAATCAAGTGCTTAATGGTCAAAATGGATCCCCAGGACCTCCACTCATATCATTGATTATTTCTTCAAAATACTAAAAAATGTTTTCTCATCTTGTTCTGATGAACCTAATATTGTGTCTTGAAATGTCTTGTGAGCTAAGCTACTCACACCCCTAATCTGAGCCCTTATATTCTCTCTGCTTACCAACTCTACTATTATTTCTATTCCTTTAACACCTTGATGTGCAAGCCAGTATTTATAACGAAGGATTTCCCCCTTGAAATTGTTATTATTAGTGTTTTTATTGTTGTTATTTTTATTGTTGTAACCATCATTAAAGCTATTTTTATAAAAATAATCTTCACATTTAAGTTTAATACATCTACATGTATATGTTTGTGAAGTTTGTTGTTATCAATGTTATATTTTGTTGTTGCACTTTTCATTTATTATCAGTCAAAAGTTTTTTAATTGTTTTAAAAGGATCTACAGTATTTTTTTCACAGTGTTAACCAACCCTGTGTGTAAAGTTGACTAACTTATTTTGTCAGTAAAGCCAATATAAAACAGTAAACAAGTACCAAATAAAATATTAGTATAAGCAAGGTAAAATAAGTTTATTATAAACTGTGTGTAACGACATTTTTTGTAACTGTTGGCCTGAAACATTTGATCACTTCCCCAACTCTCCCAATATTTAGATTCAATGGACATTTTTGAATTGGTTATTTTTGGAATTTATTTGGAAACCACACCCAAAACAATTAAATCACTTTTGACGTACAACACACAGTATTCAAAACCTGCTTCTACAAGCTGAAAACGATCTGAGCTGCTAATTTCCCAGCTGATTCATGGGTTGTACTTTTTCATCCTCTGCATCCAAAAAAGGAAAACAAAAGCGCCTTCCCACTTCACACAATAGGGCTTCATCCAGGACTTAATTTGTGTGTAACAGTTCCTAAGAAAAGCCACATGGTGGTGCTAGTGTCACATCAATAAACAAACATGAAGCCTGCAGGACTCATGTTAGCAGAAAGCAGAGAGCAGGACACACAACTGCATCTGGACTGTACAGACTCAGTCAAGCTGTTTGATTTGACCACTACTTTATCTACCGAGCAACAAAATTGCACAAAATTGGAAGAGAAAAATAACAAGGTGAAGCTGGAATACCTGTCGGGTGGCTCCAGATCTACAGGCGCTCTGTGTGTCAACTGGTTTGTAGTAATTTAATGGAAAACATGATTGGGATTATATATCATCATCTGACAAAGGGCCTCACCTGCTTTAATTACTGATCTCGTGTTACATCAAACTACCACACACTAATATAAAAAAAAACTGTTCACAAGGTATAAAGAATGAGGGATTGCAGCAGACAGGCTCAAAACAAATGCCTGATTTAAAGTCTAAATACAGTGTTTCCAGGTAGGCAATATCTATTCAAGTGGAAGTGAACCTGAGCACGAGACTGGCTAACCAGCCAGGGTTCAACAACTATTCTCACATGCATGATCTATTCTCAAAAGTCCACTGAGAGAAAATGCTGCATTGTACGGAAGCATTATGCATTCAATTGAGAAAAAAATTCTGCTCTGTTTTTCTGAATGAACAAAATAATTATGTGTTTTCGTGGGGGAAAAACAGGATACCTCAAAATCCTGCGAGAAGCTCTCACCTGCATGGACTGGGCCAGGTTTGCTGATGCTAGTCGGGCTGATGATTTCAAGTACAGGGTCAACAAACTCATAGCAACACAATCTATATTACTTAAGAAGTATCTCCCAATGCCTCCAACCCAAACCAAAATAAAACCGGATCAAACTGGACATGGTCCACTGGTGCACTGTGGGATATAAACGTAAGTGCCCTCTGTGGTGGATATGTGGTCTCTTACAGGCTGCCGTACACGCTAGAAATTTTGTTGCCGTCTACGTGGCTCTGCATAGTTAAATAGTTCCCTTTGTGTTGTTATTACAGAGGTTTAGTTTTAGTTTTAGTACATCTGAGTCATGTGATAAAACATTTTTGATCTAAACCAGGGTTTGACTGTAAATGCATCAAATCCATGCATCTGCACGCTGGTGTCTTGTTAGGACCTATGCAGCCTCTGTGACGTTTGGGTTCATTATCGTCTGGTGTTTCTTTTATCTGTTGAATATTGTCTGAGGTGTCCCCATATTCACAAACATCTGTGAGCAGCCCTACAGACACTCTAACTACATTAAGTAGAGCCAAACAAAACCGAGGATTTCAGTTAACAGAACCTTCAAATAAACCTTCTAGTGCTCAACCACATTCCTGTTTTGAGAAGACAGATGAGTTTAAAGGATTTATTTCAGTACACAAATAAAAACAAAGAGGCTTCCCACATCACATGATAGAAATCACCTGCTTCACTCAGGACTTGTTGACTTGAGTGTAACAGTTCATGAAAAACGCCTCAGGATGGTGCTCGTGTCACATCAAAAAACAACAGAAAGCGTTCAGTACACCACCTACAGGACACATGACTCCTGTCAGCATCTATAAACCTGATCTGAATGTGAGCTAACAGCAGCAACAAGCTGGACTGTGCAGCCTCTGCAGTTTTGCCTCTTACAGGATGAAGTTTATAGCAAAATGCATGTCTCTAACATGTAATAAAAATCCCATCTGACATTAGAAAATGATTAACAGCACAACATGTAAATAGTAAGAAGCTATTAACCTGATAAAAACTGGTAGAGAAGAGTAGAATATAACATTAATTGTCTCATGGGGCTATTTGGCTTATAGACAGCACTATATCGCAATGTCTCCAAACCAAACTAAAACTGGATTAAACTAAACAGGATAGACATGTTTGGACTATTGGTGCACTTGGGGTTGGATGATATGGTAGATAAAGAGTGTAGAATCAGAATCAGAGACTGCTTCATCACCAAGTTGTTTTAACATAAACCAGGGATTTGTTTTGGAGACTAGGTGCTCAACAACAATAAACAAAAATCTATATAAATATAAAGTTAAAGAAAAAGAAAAATATGAAATTGACATAATAAATTATTTACATGTGCAGTAAAAAAAATCCGATGTTGTGCAAACATGGCTCCAGGACCATCAAAATGTTTTGAGTCAGTGTCAGTGAGGTCCTGGGCCTTTTTGAAGAACCCACTGCAGAAATAGGTCATATTGCGAGAGGTTTTGGTCCTGATGGACCGCAGCCTCCTGCCAGAGGGGAGAGTCTGATCCAGAGTGGGAGGAGTCAGCCGCAATCTTTCCTGCTCCCCTCGGAGTCCTGGAGGCGTACAGGTCCTGAAGAGAAGGAAGATTGCAGCCAATCACCTTCTCTGCAGAGCGAATGATGCGCTGCAGCCTGCCCTCGTCCCTGGCGGTGGCAGCAGCGTACCAGATGGTGATGGAGGAGGAGAGGATGGACTCAGTGATGGCGGTGTTGAAGTGCACCATCATTGTCTTTGGCAGGCTGAACTTCTTCAGCTGCTGCAGGAAGTACATCCTCTGCTGGGCCTTCTTGGTGAGGGAGGTGATGTTCAGCTCCCACTTGAGGTCCTGGGAGATGATGGTGTCCAGGAAGCGGAAGGAGTCCACAGTGGTGACTGGGGAGTCACGCAGGATGATGGGGGGAGGGTGGGGCTGGGCTCTTTATGAAGTCCACGACCATCTCCACTGTCTCCAGACTGTTCTGGCTGCACCGGGTCACCAGATGGTCGATCTCCCACCTGTAGGCGGACTCATCCCCACCTGAGATGAGCCCAATGAGGGTGGTGTCATCCGCAAACTTCAGGAGCTTGACGGACTGGTGACTGGAGGTGCAGCTGTTGGTGTACAGGGAGAAGAGCAGAGGGGAAAGAACGCAGCCCTGAGGGGAACCGGTGCTGATGGTCCTGGAGTTTGAGATGTTTTTCCCAGCTTCTTGTGCTGCCTCCTGTCAGACAGGAAGTCTATGATCCACCTGTAGGGAGAGCTTATACTGCAGCAGGGCCGGGATGATGGTGTTGAAAAGTGCCCTCAACTGTGGACAAAACACAATGCAGGGCCTTATAGGCTGCCCAACATGCTAGAAATTCAGATGGCCTCTACGTGCCTCTGAATGTGTAACTAGTTCCCTGTGTGTTTTTATTACAGAGTAGTTATACTTTAAATCTGAGACACATGATAAAACAATTTTAATCTTAACCAAGGTGTGAAGGTGTTTCAATGTAAGTTACACTTTATTTTCATATATATTGAACCCAGGACTTTCTTGCTCTGAGGCCACATTGTTATCCACTGGACCACTGTAAATGCATCACAACTTTCTGTGTGTTGGTGTCCTTTTTATTTTTATTTTTCAATATCGTCTGGTGTTGGTTTTTTCTGTTGAAAGCTGTTTGAGGTGTCTCCTTATTCACAAACACCTGTGAGCAGCCCTACAGACACTCAAACTACATCAAGACGAGCAGAACAGAAACAAGGATCTCAGTTTACAGAACATGATATCTAATATTTCAGGATCTTGAGGCTGAATAAACCTTCTAGTGCTCATCCACATTCCTGTTTTGAGAAGACAGATCAGTTTAAAGGATTTATTTCAGTACACAAATAAAAACAAATAGGCTTCCCACATCACATGATAGAAATCACCTGCTTCACTCAGGACTTGTTGACTTGAGTGTAACAGTTCATGAAAAACGCCTCAGGATGGTGCTCGTGTCACATCAAAAAACCAACAGAAAGCGTTCAGTACACCACCTACAGGACACATGACTCCTGTCAGCATCTATAAACCTGATCTGAATGTGAGCTAACAGCAGCAACAAGCTGGACTGTGCAGCCTCTGCAGTTTTCCCCCCAATATTAGAAAATGATTAACAACACGCCTTTACACAGTTATAAACTCTTAACCTGACAAAACTGGTAGAGAAGAGTGTAAAATTCATGGTCTCATGGGGTAATTTAGCTTACAGACCGCAGGCTCTAGCAAAAGGCTAATATTCAAACTCACTTTGTTCAATGTTAAATTGACCGAAAAATCGTTTGTCACTTGACACAGAGAAACTGTTCTTGAACCTGAACCTACTTCAAACCTCCACGCTGCTGAGGTGACCAAGACCAGGAATCTCTACCAGCTCTAGGCCCTGACCTCTGACCTCTGAAGTTCTTGTAGAGCTTAGACGACAACAAACTGGTTCCTGCAGTCAAGAAACTCAGTTTATTCCTTTTTAACCTGATGTATGTTAATGTTTGAAGATGTTCATGCTGCTCACACACATCAGTGAACATGAGTATGGAGTCCAGATTGACGCTGACACAGTTTTTCTAAAACAGCATGTTTCTTTATGAACCCCCATCAGGTGATTACATGTTAAACAATCACATTTCTCTCTGAAATCATCTTCACATAATAAACAACATGACAAGCCAAATACGCTGTATAAACATACCATGAGGCCTTATTGAGAAATAGAAACACCACATTTTTTATTTATGTAATACTGAACACGTGTAGAAAGTGAAAATGTGATTATAACATGGCAATAAAAATGGTCAAATATCTTAGATTAAATAAGGATAAATGACAAGAACTCTCTTTTCTGACGAAGTAGTATATGGCCAAAAGTATGTGGACACGCCTGATGTCTATAGTGTACATGTCTGAAATTACAGTTTGCAACCTTTGTGTTTATTTATTTGCCAACATTTTACTTCAAGTATTTTTGTATTTTAAATTTAAATAAGTAGATACAAAGTTCCTGAAAGGTCTGAAACACTTTCAGCTGCAGATTTTTTTTTTCAACCACGTGTCGGAAATATTCTGAGGTCGTTGTTTTTCTTCTTCTGCGTCTACTGACGGATGTTTGTCAGATTCTGACCTCAGAGCTTCACGCTGCTGCAGCCTCGTTTCTTTTTACCTCATGCACATTCTGCTGCAGACTTCCTGTCGGCGGTGAAGCTGCAGAAAACAACAAACAAAAAACCAACAAACAAACAAATTACTTTCCATTACCGTTATTGTTGACACAGAGTCACGAGGTTAGTGTCACAGCAGGTCACACGGGGTTAAATTCTACCTTCATCATAAAGATGATGATTTTTACTTCTATAAACATTTGTAGAGGGACATTAGACAATACCATGTCAACCAGATGTTTGAAAATATAAACACAGTGATGTTATATTTGACAAACACAATAAGTGTATAAAGTATTGTACAAATAAAAACTGATGTCACAGTGGACCAATAAAAAAGAGTCTGTGTTGTTGAGTGGGTGAAGTGGCCAAGGGCCCCCGAAAGCTTCAAGTATAATATCAAATGGTTCCTATATTATTATGTATTTTTGTGGCTCCATCTTTTAGAGGGGTCATGTGTCAAAATCTGTCTCTGGCACCTTAATTTGTAGTTCATATGTACGGATTGTGCTCACATGGTGCATTTTACTAAAAAAAGTTTCATCAAACTAACATACAGAAAACCTGGGGCAGGTAGTTTTCCTGCTTTTCCTGAATACTGGTTGGACTTTACTGTGTTTTATGCATCATGCCTGAAGGGAACATGGAGGCAACAGGGGCCAAACAGCAATTTGGGGGGCAAAACTCATCGAGCTGGCTTTAACATTAAGAAAAGAAAAGAATGGAGATGAAAAAAGAAAATCCCATGTGGTGCATGTTTATAAATAAGTATAATATTTACAATATTTGCAAAACAGGAAGTGCTACCAAAGTGTAGGGAAAGGACAAATAACAAAACATAAACATAAACATGACAATAAACCTGAATTTATCCACAGAAGGATCAGACAGAGCTATGTGCAAACTGAATATAAAACCACATGATTCAGAGCTCCATGGGCCCCTGGTGACTCATCTCATAGGCCCCAAGCTGAAACAACACACACCACAAAGCAGATCTCATTGTTTTACAGGTTTTCTGTGTGTTGATTTGATTAAACACAACTTTATTTAGGGGCATTAACCATGTGAGCGGAATGTACATTGAAAAGGTGTTAAAACTAAATAGATTTACTCCGTACTTAAGTAAAATTTTAATGTATTTGTACTTTACATGGATACTTCAGTTTAATTCTACTTTTTACTCCACTGTCACATTTATCTGACATCTAAACTTACTTCTTACTTTGCAGATAAGCATTTTATATAAAAAAAAAACATCTGATCATGAAGTATTTAAAACCAGCTCCATCCATTTCAATAAGGTACAACATTAAAATGCTGTTGACACATAAATGAATTATCTAACATTACTATCTACCGATCAGCCATAATATTATGACCACTGACAGGGGAAGTGAATAACACTGATTATCTGTCAGTTTGTGGCATTTATCAAGCACCAGGTGAACATTGTGCCCTCATAGTTGATGTGTTAGAAGCAGCTGACAATGGACGAAAGTTGGGGTACATCCTGGACAGGCTGCCGCTTCATCGCAAGGCCACAAATATACAAACAACCACCCACACTCACACCTAAGGGCAATTTGGGGTCACCTTTTACCCTAGCCCTAGCTTTGGACAGTGGGGGGAAGCCTGAGCACCCGGAGAGAACTCACGCAGACACGGGGAGAACATGCAAACTCTAAACATAAAGGCCGGGACGATTGAGGTTCGAACCCCAGACCCTCTTGCTCTGGGCCGACAGTGGCCCCCATATATATTGTTTTTTTAAAGTAAATTTTATTCTATTCAAGATATTTGTTTGAATAAATCGTTGTATATATGTTATATGTATATAGTATGAAGGGGCAACAACTTAAATTTCATTGTGCAACCCTTGTAAAATAACAAATACTGTTAAATGACTTTGACCTTGAGACTAAATGACATATTAATGTGCAGGGTAACAAGTTTCTTTCCAATATTGCCATTATTATTATCATAATCACTCTCAGCACTTTGCTTGGCTCCCAGGAGCAGCGAGGACTCCCTGATGAACTCCCTCACCTGCGTCGCTGTTATTATTACAGAGCAAACCAGCAAAGTTCAGCCGGGTAAAAAACAGCTCGACCTGCTGAAAGTCACTCTTTTGTTTTGTTTGACTACATCCGTCATTGTGAGTTGATTTCTTTCGTTTCGTTTCTTTTAATATTTAAATCCAAACGCAAAGAGAAAATGTGCAGAAACATGCAGATGAACAAAAAGACCAAAACAAATATATAGATATAAGATATAATGATAAGAAACAATGGACAACATTATCCATTAACTATCTATTATCTCAGGAACCCTCTGGGAAGAAAATCATTTTTATCTTCTCTTTCAGTCCCTTATATTGTTTCTTTTTTTGTTTGCATCCATGTGCAATAAATAAAAACCCCTTCAACATCTAAATTTGTATTTCATTCTTATATAAAGTGCCACCGTTAGATTAATATAAACAATATATTTTTATGAGCATGAATACTAACAGAAAACGAGCAGAGGAGCCTGGTTGTTATTAGCGCTGCACTAGAAGAATTTTACTGTTAGAAAATCAAGAATAAAATGCAAAGCTGAATGGTACTGATCTGGAATAAATATGGAACAAAATAAAATGCACAGTAGATGTGAGGGCCTTGTGGAGGCTTCAGGCACCTGAGCAGCTGTTTGTCCACCTGGTTCTCAGATACACCTGAATACTATATTATCACATAAGAACAGTGTGACCTGCTGCACTGATGGTTTATATTTAGGCGTCTGATCTGTTTTCTCACGCTGATTCTGAGGCCACACCTGATGATGCGTCTTCACCTCAGCACCGCCTGACCTCGATATCCCCGCCCACATGCACACACATCCTGTCCCAGCAGCCTTTGAGGCAGAAACCACTGCCGCCTTCGTCTGTGACACAGGCGTCTTCGCGCAGCTCGTCTTCATCAGCGACCACATCCTGTGGAAACAGTGAGGCAGAAGATTTTCCAGCAGCAGCAGCAGCAGCCAATCAGGTCGCAGATACAATCCGCAGAATGAGAAACATGATTTACACTTTTAAAAAAACAATTTTTTTTACAGTGTAATAAACCCAAGAGATGTTCCTAAGTATGCATAACTAATATCAATGTGTACGTTTTCCCTTTCATGCTTTTTTATATTTATTCAGTTACTTATTTTTATCATGTATTTATTTCAACATATTAATAATCTTAATAAATACTTCTTAAAGTAACCATGACCTTCCTTGTGTTCAGTATAAATGCTGACTCTTGTGGTTTGAACACAAAGAGGACGTCATCCTTGTCTTCCACCTCATGAGGTCACTTCAATCTGCAAAGTCAGTCTGAACACTGATGATTTCATTCAGACCAATCACACCACAGTACACAATATTATTTAAAAAACAATGTCACTGTGTCAGTCAACACATGTTCTCCTGCAGTGTTTAAAGGGGTTAAGTGAAGTAATTTTGCTCAACAGACACCTAAACACATAAACATGTTTAAAATCACAGTGAATTTAAATTTAATAGAATATAATTCTGTTCATCATTCTAGGTACATTTTGTTATCCAACACTTCATGTATCTCAACTCATTTGTGCTCATTTATTGAAGATTTGGGAGCATGTGTTGAACAGACCACAGTATTTCCTGATACAATAAAGACAACTCTCCACTGCACTGTACATGTTTATATGTGATTTCTGCTAATAACAGTTATTCTGTGATTTTCAAACATGGTCATTCAACCCTGGCTGCTCAGTTTCAGCAACTCTCAGAGTGATGACTTTCTTTCTGACCTGGTTTATGCAAATACCTGCACACTACATGGCTACAAGTATGTGTGACGGTGTAACATGGGATTGAGACTCCATGTTCATTAACCTGCTGCACTACCGGCCTCCACTCTTTAGGTTTTAAGCTTGAACCTGCAGCAGGGATTTGCTCCCTTTCAGACACAAGACATTCAGTGAGGTCCAGCACTGATGTTGGTGATCAGGTTTGGCTCTCAGTTGTGGGTCCAGTTCTGTCCAGTCAGGTTCTTCCACACCAAACTGGGAAAACCATTTCTTTATGGAGCTGCTTTGTGTCATGTTTAAACAGGAAAGAAACTGCTGACACGAAGCTGGAAAGATAACGTTTTCTAATATATCAGAGTATGCTGCAGGATTAAGATTTAACTTTATTGGACCCAGTCAAAAACAGTAGAGTCGCCTGTCCACATACTTTTGGCCACATAGTGAGGTGTGCTTCAGCAGCTTTAGAGAGTTCTAACTTAGACGTGATGTTTTTTTGTTCAGCCGCATATCGCAGATCTGATTCAATTCACAGATGAAACCAGAGCAGGAAGTCGTCCGTCACACGTCACATCTCAGATGAATCTAATGATTATTATTGGTCTGAGGACGGCGCCACAGCAGTCTGTACATAACAACATGATATCAAACACAATAACTCCTCTAACTGCACACGAGATGTTTGGTAGTCCAAACGTTCACACGCAGGAGGATGACGCACGCTCAATTTACAACCGGGACACTGAAGATCACACTTGGACACACTTGTTATCTTCACTGTAATGTATATTTACAATAAAACTAAATTAAATATCACATCAAAGTGCCTTTTAATTGATGTAATTTATTAATGTAATTTTAATTAATGTCATTTAAGGTGCATAAACTGTATGTATGTTACTGCAATGTGGTGAGATGTTGACATGTGAGGAGCCCAAAGCTCCACAGAGCAGCTCTGTTGTTAAACTGTCCTGTAAAAACATGAAGCTTCACCTTCAGGCAAACCAAATATCAGATTTAGACACCTACACCAACGTTTGTTTGACCCTCTGTGTCAAACTCCACAGAGACATCAGAGCCAATGAGCTGCTGACAGCTGAAAGCTCTTACCCTGCTAACGTTCCCAGCTGCCCCGAGTCTGTCCTGCACGGTCCTGACTCGAACAGAGATGCTAGCCAGCGCGTCTCTTAAGGTTTCCTCGCTGCACAGCTCCTCACTTCTGAAACATAACAGCAAATTTTACAGTTGACTTTATTTATAATAAATCCATCACATATTAAAAAAATCAGGTGGTGAACTTGTCATCTGAAGATGAAGTGAACGGCTCCAGAATAAAGTTTAAAACAATTTTGAGTCTGACTCAAAGTCTTTACCGTCACGTCTGCTCCACACACAGAAAACTGACAAATTATGATGTATTATTACAGTTTAAGCTACCCAGCAGTATATGTGGCCGTTACAGTGAGCTCCACCTTTACCAGCTGAAAACACATGAATGGACAAATAATTATAGTTCAAACATTAAATTATTCTGAATATTTTTCATGATGCTTTTACTTTTGGTACTCAGAGTATATTTTGATGGAAATACTTTTTTGTGAGTTTGAGTATTTCTTCTACTTTTCTGTCACAGCTGAACAAACTTAACAAACACACAGCAGAACTGTTATTAATTTTCAGCTTCTTTATTTTCTTTGTGTCCACCTACAGCACACTGGAAACCTGCTTAGAATGAGGATGGAGTTTGTAGCAGAGACACAATCATCATAAATGATTTCTGCTGCTCGTCCTGGACTCAAGGATGATGTACGAATGTATCTGACATAGATATTATTAACAAAAATAACATGCTGTGTTTTATGTTTTATGTATTGCTGTCTTTGTTTTTTGGTGCCTTGTTATATGTATAAGTTTCGCTGTTCCTGTTCTAATGTATTTTACGTAGCTGTCAGTACATTACACATTACACTACAGTTGAAAATGAGCCAAGCTGGCTAAACTGGCACATTTACAGAAATGTCCATTAATGTGCATTGTCCCTGTAACTTGTCCCTGTAAACTGCATAAATAAAAAAATAAATGTGAAGACGCTTATTTCTGATCCCAAGTGAAGCCCTAAAAATAAAAATAAAATAAACGGTAAAAACTAAAGCTCAGCACTGAATCAGTCTGTCACTATTTAAATACAAGTGTTTTATTTATTTACTTGTTCTGAGTGTAACATTAAAAAAATAAATCATAAATCAATTATCCTACTTATGATATTTATAGGTTATATTACACTCTGGGGCCGTGCCAGTGGAAAACAGGTGGTGTGGAAGTGGGCTGAGATCTCACAGCTGTGAGTTACACTCTGTGGTTTTCTTCATTTCCATTCAGTCTGGTTGTGCAACACATTCAGTGATCAGACTGACAAAGTTAGGATTCATTTCCTCACAATCCGATGCCCTGAATTACTTTGTTTATAGCTGAACTATAGACGTTCATCACAGAACATGAACACATTTTCCATCTTTACAACCTCCAGCTTTCTCAGTAAAATGTCAGAATGATAAGAAAATTTATGACCAAGAGTTGTTTCGAGAAGATGACTGAAGTCTCTGTTTGTTTCGATGTTGATGTTAATGAGTTTCATTATTAATATGTAAGAACTCTAAGTTCGATTAAGGATTTAATTACAATCTTAAACTGAACATTTTAAGCTGCAGGAAGTTGTGTTTTGACAGTAACTGTTAACATATTAATGTATGTGACCCTCCAAAGGTTCACCAGGATTCACTTGGTGCAGAAGTCTGTGTTTTGTTCAGCTTTCTTTCTGTGTGGAGGGCTGATGGAGGCTGAAGAGTTTTATAGTGCTCATTCACTCACTCACCTACAATAAGCAACACTGACTACTAAGCTTGCGAGGACTCTGTTCAACCACATATACTCTTAGATAATCTTTGTTATCACGTGACATGACAGCATCCTGTGTTTAAGATGATAAGCTTCAGGTTAGAAGATGTTTTGGACAACATTTGGGTATAAAAACATTATAATTTAAATATTTATGGCCTTCATGTAAAGCGCTGTAACTCTGTTTGATACGTGCTGCATAAATAAAGTTTATTGTTATTATTATTTAGGATTAGATTGGATGGAAAGAGCAGCAAGTGTGTGACGCTGTTTGGTCTGCCAATGAGAGCAGAGTGTGAGGCAGCTCTGTGGACCAGTGCCGACCAGTGTGAGAGTTTAATACTGTGGTCTTTTAATTTGCTAGTTCTGTGTTTTCAGTTAAAACCCGTATCTTCGTTTTTGCTTGAGTAGTTCATTGTGAGAGTATTAATTGATTGTTATCTTATTGTTTGCACATAATCTGTTTTTGTCAGCTTATTAAGACCCATATTTACAATTATTGTTGGGCCCCAACCTCAAGTGGCTATAAGATGGGAGCAAAGGAGGAAGTCAGGACTTTAATCCAGGAGTCCTGTATGAAACCAAGTTAACAATGAGTAGTTTTTAAATAACCTGACATATGTAAAACACCTATTTTAACCCAAACCACCTGCATCTATCCTAGCCTAAACCTAACCAAGTAATTTGGTTGTATAAACCTGACCAATAGGCGATAAGTTTACAACGTGAACGACGTGTTTAACGTCCACAGGGCACAGAAACTGAACGCTGTGAGTTGGCACTTATTCATCCAAAATTCATGCCTTTCGAGCGTCGACCAAAGCATGCATTTTGGCGCCCCGGCAATAAATGCAGTGTAACTTCGGTATAGTTAATCACAAAGTTCTATGGGCCCCGGCCATGGCTTCACCACTGCACCTGCAATACAGTTTTTTTATTGAATGTCTCAAAATTGTCAAACACTTGTGTCCATTTTAAGCTTCCAACTGGTTTAACTGCAACCCTGACTCATAAAAATGATGGTTAGATATTGATAAAAACACTTAAGGCTTGAAGCACGAGAGGACACGTTTACTTTTTACATTATTACATTATTTAGCTGACGCTTTTCTCCAAAGCGACTTACAACTGCTATACATGTCAGAGGTCACACGCCTCTGGAGGCCACTTTCCCCCTGATCAAAGAGTATTTGTTCCTTAGGACTCAGAGTCCTGCACTTTATACACACACATACTATGTTGTGTATTTCTACATTTAATCTATTCAGGTTAAAATATCCTCTCTTTCAAGGTTTAAAACTGAAATTGGTCCTCACAAAGACAGAAGTGTAACAGCACACACACACACTCTTATCTCTGCATTGCTGGTGTTTTCTGTGCAGCAGAATAAACAGGAAACCACAGACAGAATCGCAGCTCGAACCAGTTTGAGCTGCTCTGCTGATCACAAACACTGATTACCGTTTGTTTAATTAATTTGTTGGTTAGGTGTCACATCAACAACATGTGTTGTTGATGTGACACATGTGACATGTGAGAGTTTTAACTCATAAACAAAACAACTAACAACAAACTAATTTAATTGAAATACTGCAAACAGTCTGACTGGGAAGTTTCTTTTCCATCTAACAGTTCAGATCTGTGAACCAGAGAAGAGCCACTGAGAGCAGTTACTGAGAACCTGCCTACATGATGAAGGAAATTATTGAAATGACAACTTTATGATCATTTGTTCCTTAAATGACTCAATTAATTCCTCTAAATTAACATGTTCATTTCTCAGTATCTTAGTTCGTACACTCAGATTTACAGTAAGAAGTTTTTAACAGCCCACATTTTTACTAACAGCATCAATAATGGCTCGATTGTATGTTTTATTTCATTATGAGAAGGATTAAATTAAATCACATGTGCAAAAATGATTTTCATTGTTGTCCTTGTTGAAAAGAACAAAGACACAAGACCTCAAGTTATTTTTAAAGTCATAACTCTCAGCTCACACATTCAGTGTGTATATAAATACACACACAATATAAATATATGTGATATACACATTATTTGCTTTTCAAAAGTGGTACATAAAGAAACTGGAAAGTGTGCAGACTGTGATTTCTGCAGGATATATGTATCAAATGTGTGTCTGACTTTTTTTCTGCATAAGTCACAGAACGAAGGCTTTTTGATGCAAATTTATTCCAAAAACAATGTAAAATAACGAGTGGAGTTAAACCTCCGCAAAAGTCCAACAAACCCGACCAAAATGGCGATCTTACATTTCAGTGTGCATGTTTCTCTCAGCGAGCCATCGTTAATGTTTTAGTTCCACCTGTGTGTTTCCTGCTATGACTCTACAGTGTGATGTTGATCTCAGGCTGACAGAAAACAGAATCAAAACAGTAAAAATGTCCTAACTCTCACCAGAGCTTCTGAAGAACCAACAGGTGGTTGAAACTGCTGCTTTAATGGCTTCACTCTGGTCTGCATCTACTGTAGTATCATTTGTCCTCCTGTGTTTTCCCAACATTGTTTAGTGTTTAAATTCACCGACTGTAGAAGTCAGGACAGCCCATTCTTAAAGTTGCAAATGACACGTTTCTTGATTTTACACAACCCCAGCAAGTCTGCTAATTTTTGTATGTGAATGAATGAATGAATGGCAGTTTTCCTCACAACAGCAGCTGGCCTCATCAACAAGGCCCGGGACCCTGCTGACAGCAACTCTCATCCAGCCCCGCAGATACGACGTGTTATTACATAAACGTAATAATGCCTCACATCAACACATATTCACATTCTTTACAGTTTATACTGCAAACTCTCTTCTTCTGTACAGATCTGTTCATGTTTCTTTGCTCAAGGCAAATTCCTTATAAGTGAAAACCTACCTGCTAATAAACCTGATTCTGCTTCATACAGTAAAAACATACAGTGTTCAACATTTTAAGAGGTAAAACTTGCAAACATACAAATATGTTCAGTATAAAAATAACCATCTTTATTTTTGCTTGTGCAGTCACTCAGTTGTTTTCTGTAAACGTGAGTCACTCAAACTCTGCAGGCTCTTAGATTCAGATTCAGACCGTCAGTGTGTTTAATGACACACACTGATATTACAGTTTGACTCAGTCTTTCAAACAGAAACACATCAGCACCTCCGCAGAAAAACACAGCAGGCTTTCTCATTTCTCAGATGAGAGCTGGAGGAGTCGAGGAGGAGAGAGGAGTTGAGGAAACGGGCATTTCACTGATACGATTAAATGATTTAGAGAAGAGGACGCGTGTTGTGTAGGTATTTATGGAACTGCTGGGAGTGACGTCACTGATGTTTGGTCCTGCTGCTGAAACTCTGCTGGTAGCACCACTTAACCAAACGCCTCAGAGCTCCTTTTACTGTGACGTCAGTTAAATATGAGCTGTTGCACAGCTGCATCATCTGTCCATAGATCTGAGCCTGCTGTTGTGATCTCTGTCAGATGAGCAGACCTGCTGTCGGCTCTAAAGGCTACAGATCAGATCTGATGTCTGTGACCGTCATAACACGTGGAAACATCTCTAGGTTCCAATAAACATTATAGCATCTGTTGAAAACAGTCACAGATTACTGCAGCCTCATCATTCACTACACAGAAATAGTACAACGTGAAATACAGCAGGTCAGTGCTGAAGGCTCTGGTCGATAATACGGTCTAATAATTTGAGATTAGCAGCTGAACTGGTGTGATGCGTTGATTGGCTCAGACATCTGAATCTGAATATCTCATGTATGTATAACCCCCAGAGACCAGCACCTGCGTGGACATTTTACCTCCACGGGTCGCTGTAGTTTGCCGGGAGATTTCTTGATTGTGTTATATTGATGTGTGAGTGTTTTCTTTAACGATTTCCTTTAATGACCAGAGAGGCTGCTGTCAGTCATTTAAACATTTCCACATGCAGTAATGCTGCAGCAAATATCGTGGAACATAACAAAACCACAGTAATAACCTTGACTGGACAGACAGGAAACTCTCTGGAAGGAACAAAACTTTTAGCTTCTGAAGCATTTGTTTAGACGCTCTGAGGGAGCCGGCTGCTTTACACAGAACATAAATAAACATTAGATCCTGACTGATCCCGAGATAAATAACTTGTAACTGTAGATGTGCCTCGTGCGTAATTGCACACAGCATCTCTCTTAATGGGGAGACGCTTCACCAGCCACTATTCACAGTGTTCATTTTTATGATCCTGCTGCACATCTGCACATCACATTCAACAATAACAACCCTGATATCAAAGTGAAATTACATTAAAGAATGGTGAAGGGCAGAAAATAAAATTGTGCATGTGATTATCTTAAATAACCAGTACAACTTATGAATCCTCCAGGAACACTGTGGGTTGGTGTATAATCCAGCTGCGTGTCTTTAAAGAATCACATCTGCCTAAAAGACTTCTGGAAAGGATACACTGGTGTTTAGCTCCTCCGGCTAACCTCCTCAGTCCTCGATTCTCATTACTTGAGGTACATTTTAGGTAGATCGAGGTGCATTGAGATCAATTTCTGGGTCTCACACACAGAGAAATAAGGTATCATTTCTGTTCCCTAAAGGTACATTTGTAAAAAAAGTACCCTGTAATGGTCCTTAAGGTGTTAACTGTGGACCTTTGTTTATTTTTAAAGGTACAGAATCATTGCTGACAGCAAAGGGTACATAACTGTACCTTTAACAAGCTTAACGTACAGGCAAATGATGCAGAAAATCAGTGATCCCTCGCCCCCAGGACATACAGGGTTGGCGATGGGCCAGTGGATAAGACACATGCCATTGGTGTGAGAGACCTGGGTTCAATACCCACTGTGACACATCCACTAATGTGTCCCTGAGCGAGACACTTGACCCGTTGTTGCTCCAGAGGCGTGCCACTTCTGATACAAATAGGAATTGTGAATTGCTTCGGATAATTGTAAAGGTACATTTTTGTCTCTAGGGGTGCAGAAATCTTATTTTAGAGGTATAGTCCTCGTACCCTGCTAGGGTACAGCTGGAGCGGCAAAGCATTTGTACCTTTTTAGGTCCATTCCTGTGCCTTGATTTCTCTTTGTGCAGGCTCGAGGATCGAGGAGGCACAAATTAGGGAAATGAGAAAGGCCCAGTGACTGACATCACAGGTGTCTGCTTTTCTTATCACATGACACATCCTGGTGAGACATAGATAGATGGTAAAACTTGCATTAAAGTAAAATCCCTTTCTTTTTATATTCTGGTTTTTGTTTTCTGAAACATTCTCTCATGTCAACCGAACTTCAGAATGTAACCTTTCAATTTTAACAGATTTAGCTTCCTTAATATTTAAACAGGAGAATCGCACAGTGTGCACAGCAGCTGCTCCTGGTTTTGGGTCTTTAAACACATCATCCCAATCAGTTTCTTACTGTGAGTGATCAGATCTTATATGACCATGCTATTTTCTGGAACTTATTTGGACGAATCAGGATTCAGCAACGTTTGAATCAGAATGCGATGCTACTTGGTTGATTGTCAATCAAATCTGATTAAAACACTCCCACACAGCTGACTGTGCTTTGACTTGAGTTCTCCCCCGAGCACAAAGCCAGGAGGCTGGTTAATGTGCTGGAATCAACTAACACATTTGGGCCCCACAGTGCATCTTAAGGTTTTCTCAGTATAAAATAAAACCATTAACTGCAACAACAAGAAAGCTTAAAACCAATTTTTGCCTCTCACAGCACAAAATCACTAAGGGCCCCTGGGCATAGAAGGCCCCTCATTGGACCTACAGTAGACCCTCATTCTTTGTTTATTGTAGATGATTTTAAATGTGAGCTTTGATTCTTAAAGAAGAAAAGTTACTGGCATGACGGTCACTTCGTCCACATCGACACTTTGGGCCCCTGGGCCTGTTCAGTAATCCATCCATAGTACACATTATCTCAATAGTATGTGGACACTGAAGGATTTCATCCACAATGATTTCTGCCTTTGTCATTATTCTCTCAGGCTTCCCAGGTGTTTAATATTAATTTACTTTAATATGTATTTTCATGCACTTTTTTCACTTTATTACAACACATTTCAAACTTAATAATAGAATAATAATATTTGTTCATGCACAATCTATAATCTGTAATTTCATGGACAGAAGAACAGTTTAAAAGGGGGAAATATTTTAGTATTATTTTCTTTAATTATTATTATTATTATTATAACTACAGATAGAGCAGAAACATCTGTGTGAAGTCATCAATGTCAACAAAACAGGAATAGTAAAAGCAGAAATTATGGATTAAAAAAAACAACATAATCATAAATCCTTTTTCAGTTTTTATTATAATGTCACAGAGCAGAGTTTTTTAAAGTTTTCTTTTGAGTTTTTTACTGAAAGCAAAACAAACTGCATGTCAAAATGTAACTGTGATATTTACATCAGCAGGACAGAAAGAGTCCAAATTCAATCATTAAAAGCAAAATGAAAATCATCTCCAAACTATATAAAGATTACATGTTTTACAGAATGCCTTCATGTCTGTCAGCAGTGTGATATTAACAGGTGATACGATATTTTTACATATTACTATACATGATGCAGATACACAAGACAGCGAGTTAAGCAATGACTCAAATCGATCATAAACTTGTTCTGTGAATCCGTCATCATGAAGTTTTTCTCTAGTGAAGATCTGAAGAGTTCCTGTAAGATAAAACACAAAAATTAATCATTAATGTGACCTGAAACAGCTTTAAAATACATAATTCCAGATTTCTTCCATTTTATCAAGATGTACAGAGTCAAAGCAGAGCCTAAATATACATATAAAGGAAAAAAACTGTTAATGAAAATCAGCTTTTACAAACATTTACAGATTATTTGTCTCCATACAGACGAGTCTATACAACATACAAAGGGAACCACGTCCAGAATAACCATCTAAGCCACTGATTGGGAAATTTGGTTAAGATATCTAAAATGTCCACTGTTGCATCCATTCAAAACAACTATGGTCAGCACCAAAGGTCAAATTTGCACAAAGACAGAACTCAATAAGATGTAATGGAATTTCACGACACAAAGTTCAGGTAGAAACTTTGATGTTCACCTTGGTTTTCTCCTCCACATCAGTGGTTTAGATGATCTGGATATACTGGACTTGTTTTATTTCTTGTGGACGAAGTTGCGTAAAAATTCAGTCTTCTTGTGTCCCTCCTCTGTAAATCATGTCCATAATGGAAACACTGTCTCCTAAAAATGATCTAATTTGCATATATGATTTGTGGAAGATTTTTATATTGGACATATGTGCAAACTGATGATGGACAAATAACTGAAAACAATTTTTTTAGTTTAAAAAAAAAACCCACACTGCTACTGTCAATGAAGCTTTTAAATTGAAACACTTTCAGCAGATATTTTACATTAAAAGAAGGGGTTATGCCATTTGAGCTGCTGGAAGGCTTTTAATCTGAAAAAATACGAGGTTTGTTAATGGGAGTTAATGATTTGGTCTATAAAACACCAGAAAACATAATAAAATGTGACAGTTTCCGAGAGTCCAAGGTGACGTCTTGTTATCGATCAGAATAGTTGCCAATTACGTTTGTCAATCAACTCATTGTTGCAGCTCCAAAAATTCAGAATATAGTGCTGCTCAACGGTAAAAGTGTTTTGAACGGAGCGGTGGGTGTGACATGACTCAGTTGTATTTACAGAATTAATGCTTTGGAAATCAACATTATCCTGAATTTATCAAGATAACACGTCTTGGAAGAAAGGTTGAGTTTGTTTCAACAGCAAATAAACAGAAGCAGATCTGAAACAGAGAGGACTCTTTAAAAAATGTAAGTAAGTATACTCATAAAACAGGGGAAAACTTTGTACTCACACTGACTGATCCACAGCCGGAGGCTCATCACGATGTTGAAGACGACGGTCTTGAAAAACATCAGCCTGAGGATCGTGATGGTCAGAGTGATGCCGTTCACTGTCGGATCTGCAATCAACAACATCACAAACGTTAAACCAAAACACAAACAGAGCTTTGTAAACCCAGAGGCAACTGTTTAATCAGATTAAATACAAACCTAGCTCCAAAGTTTCTTCGCACAAACCGTCACCATCCGTCTCTGAAAGATATCAGACACAAAATGATTATTAGCTTTGAGAAATGCATTGATGTTTCAGAACCCCATCATTTACAACAAGCTCCAAAAGCAACAGCGTTCGCACCGTTTTTGATTTACATGTCTGCATTTAAACTTTTTCATTTTGGTCATTTTCCATAATCAGTCACACTTTTTAATTTTCTGTGTTCAAATCCGTTTTCCTTCCCTCTGGTCAGTAAAACCTTTCAATCCTCCTTTCTATCCTAGTTTTCCATTTTCTTTTTTTTCAGTTGATCCTTTAGTGTGCTGATAAAACTGATTTAATCAGGTGTCATACATATTAAATCATTTACACTTACCTTGACATTTTCCTTCACTTGTTGAATTTAACAAAGCCACCTGGTTGAACAGGCCATCTAGTGGTTCTTCTGATATCAGGACGGCCTCTGAATTATTGAATAGACCCTCATTTTTAGGGTCTAATTTTGTTGCGTTCTGTCTGCTGAAACCAGTCGCCAGGCATGCCTCTGTGTTGTTACCATCTTTCAGTTTATAGTAGGATGGCTCGAACTCATCCTCTGAAAAACACAAAAGACAGACAGCTCATTAACACACAGGAATAATGTTTAAACATTGCCAACGTAGCTGTGTATCCAGTTCAGAATAAGTGTTATGACTGAACATATTAGGAGAAAAGGAGCAAACCAAAGCACATCAAACTATAATCCAAAGAAGATGACGTCACTCACAGACACACTGTGATTGAATCACACACAGAAACATCAATTTCAGCTGAAGGTTTAAAACTGCTCATCAAAAAGGAACATTAATCATCACATCCCAAATCAGACAGCTGCTGGAAAAACTCTTTATTCCTGTTTTTGGAAGCTGAACTTAAGGTGTCCATTTTTTCAGTTGAAAGTTGTTCTATTTTTAATACAAGGATGTTTTATTCATCACTCAGTAGTATTGGCACATGTACTGTCTTTGTGCATGTTGCGTGTTTTATTATATCATAGGAATAAAGGAACATATTTTTGTTCCCCTGAACGTATATCAAGTATCAAATATCAACAAAATCACATCAATACTTTTTCAATTCAGTCAAGTATATTTTTAGCGGGTGAATTTTGTTGAATGATATGTATATTTAATTATTTTTATGCATCTGTTTTACTGCAGTAGTGTAATATATACAATATATTTACAATAAGTACACTTCGTAAAGTAGCATATTTTAAGTAAAGGTCTTGTGATACAAAGCATTTTGGTAACTCAAATGTACCCAAATGTGTAAAAAAAAAAAGCATAATTTAGCCATAATATTAGGTTTAATTGTTAATACCATTAAGTGGTGTACATGGTATTGCTCCAGTAGCATCCTGATTTGGGATACATTAGATTAGAGATCCTTTAAGAAGTGATACAAAACATTTGTGGAAACATTTAAAGAGTTATGGATGCTAATGCTAATATAAACATAAACATATGTTTGCCGTAAATGTACATTTACAGATAATTACTTACTCAACACAACGACCAGTTTTGATCCTGACCCAAACAGGATTTTGTTGTTGTTGTAATTCACACAACAGTTTGTCTAATTACGAAAATGACTCGGCATAATCTGATCTGAATGTGCATTTTTAAGTTTCAGAAACCAAAACTGTTGTTGGCTACTGTTAATGTTATCGTTAGTTTTACATTTTTAAGCAAAATAAAACAAAATGGAAACCTGATGTAAATCTCAACATGAATGTCACTATGACATTAAATTACACAATTACAACTCTGTTTAATTTTGATTCTGTTTGATTCAGAATAAGATTAAGTAACAAGAAATGTTGAAATTATTGTTGTCAGATAAAATTTAAATTTTGATATCATGTTGTTATCATAATTATATTGTTATCCATATGTTATTATTAATAGGAATTAGGAATTCAGTTCATCTCGCACTTACTTGTCAGAATAACAAGTTTAATTCCAGATCCAAAGATAGTCCTGATGTTGTCATTCACACAAAGATTTGTTTGGCAGCAAAAACACATCAACAGCTCTGATGTGACTGAGCAAAAAGTGTTTTAAACATTTCTATTAATAAAGTAAATGTGTAGTAAATGTGTTGCTGTTTTTTTATGAGAGCAAAAATTTGGATTCCCACATTATCAGTTTTGTAACAAATCTGCACAATTAAAGTTACACAGGTGACGATGTTGTCGCATTCCTTATTAGCGAGTTACTAGTTTATGTTCATTTCTGCCCTCTAATTGCATTTTATTTGTTAAATACATGATTATTAAGTTATATATGTATAGTATTTGTTTTATTAAAGTGTGTTTGGTAAATCAGTGCCTGTAAACGCTCAGTGCAGTTTCATATATAAATATTTGTAATAAAAGAATGTTATTAGGTGATTGTGCAAGTTAGCTAACATGTAGAATGTAATTTTTTAAACTTGAGTTGAAACATAGCTACAGACACAAAATCATCACTTCCACATTATTGAGAATATATTGTTATTATGCTGTCTATATACATTTTAGCGGGATTTTTAAATAATGGTTAAAGGCAAATATTAATGTGTACATCTGTTAATTTAGACAATTCACTTACTTGACAATACAAACAGTCTGATTCCCGATCCAAATAGGATTTTGAAGTTGTTGTTATTCACACAGGAACTAAACCAGTTACAAAAACCAGTGTGCTACTTCAACACAAAGCGAACCTGATTAAACTTAATGATTAGTGTCGATATGAAACTGTTCTGTATTGTGTTTTTTTAGTTACTATTTTACAAACAATTATACGTGTCGGTTATTAGTTTTATACATGTTTGGCTTTTTGTTTTAGTGTTGTGTGTTAGTATAATATAATAGTACACAGTAAACAGATAATAAGTGAATAAACTTGCATTACACTTCATTTGGTGCCAAATTATATTTTACATCCACTGCAAGATCAATGCCTCAATTGATTAGTTGACATATAATTTGTAAATAAAATCCAACCTCACCAGAGAAGTTTTGTTGCTATTTGCAACACCTCTGAGGCGAAAAAGAGATAAACCACTCCACTATTATCTAAATATCTGTGCCATTGTGAGATTTGTATTAAAATGTGAATAGAACACTTTTTAACTCACTTTTTTCGACCTGAAGTTTAGTTCCAGCACCAAATGTTAGTTTGGAGACTCCAAGTTGTGTCACACATTGTTGTGTCACTGTGCAGTTTCCCCTTCTTTAGGTTCTTTATCTTTGTACCTTTAATCTTCTACATGAGGAGGATTTCAAATATAAAACCATTATCATAATGTTATATGTTTTAAGATTTTTTGGAAAGTGAGGTATGAGAAATTAACTTTTAATAACTTCAAAGTGTTCATTGGGAGCGGGGGACAGGGTTTAGATTTAGAAACGACTTGATAACGTCCAGTAATTCAATGTAAATATCTTTGGTTTTAGTGACACACCTTGCTGTTCAGTGTCACACTTACTTGTCACGATGATAAGTTTAATTCCAGCTCCAAACACAGTCCTGATGTTATTCACACACAGATTTATCTGGCAGCAAAAACACCAGCTAACTGAGAGTGCGGGGGGGGGGGTTGGATTTTATTTTATATTATATTTTATAAATGTTTATTCATTCATCATCAACATTTATAAATAAAATAAGTGGCGGTAAGTGACAATGAATCATTACTTTCACTTAGAAACGACTAGTTTGGGTTAAAATGTGTCTGTTTGCTGAAGTAAGTGATTCCTCTGAAGAACAGAGACTCACTTTACTATCGACTAAATGTAACAATACTTTGTTTGATTATAGAAACTGTAGTTTTACACAAAGGTATTACATATGTAATGTTTGTGTAGTGAATATTTCAGTTGTGAAAGTTCGTTGATGAGTCAAAGTCAGCAGCTTCATGTTTATGGTAACTGTGTTAGTTATATTAGAAAAAGTTATGAATAAAATGTGTAATAACAAATGTAATGTGAAACAATGTGATTATCAGATCCCAACTTCAAATGTGTACTTTTTGCATTATAAAGTGTGTGATTACTAAAAAAACATAATTGCAATTATTAATGCATTTGCCAACCAGGTCTGTATAGTTATAAATATTTAAAACACACACTTACGTGACGTAACAATAACTTTGATTCCAGATCCAAACGTGAGTTTGTAGTTGTTAGTATTCACACAGCAAGTTAGCAGCATTCAAAAACCACTGAAGAACCTTCACCATACTGACGAGATATCTTGTGGTTCTTCATAAATTCAACAAATCTACATATTGTGCATATTATGACTTATATTAGGATTCATATTTGTACTATTACCATGTCGAACGCCGTTTAGATTTTTTGAATATTGTAATCTTTAGTATCTTTTAAACAAATGTTTTTTTATCACATTAACAGTCCTGTAGCTTAAGATTTGAAGAAAAACCAGAAATAAACACACACGACTCACTCAGCCACACAGTTAATTTGATCCCACGGCCAAAGGTTATTTTCCATCCACTTGTCACACAGACATTCACTCCTTCACGAAAACACCTGGAAGTCTTGTTGTTTCGGAAGTCTTGCTATAAAACTTTAGTCTATTACGACAAATTATTATTGTTTTAATGGTTTTAAATGTTGCTAAGCAATAACTGGTTTGGATGATCAGACAAGATGCAGCGATTCAAAGCTGATTATATGTAAAACCACTTGGCTGTTATTATTTTTGGACTACAGCGAGTTGTTTACGAGCATCATTTTAAAAAATACAGTGTTGGAAATGACCATTACTTTGTTAGAAAGTAAAACAGTCTTCAAACTGTGAACCTAACAGTCAAATACATTTATAAATAGAGAGATGTATCAAAGCATCACATTGTAGGAAGTGGAACCAGAAAATGTTTTGTCATTTATGAATTAATTAAACAAATACTTATCAAAAACTGCTTCTCTTGGTTAATTAATAATTACATCCCTTAATTGTTTCAACATTACATGATTACTAGTAACTAATCTCAATGGACTGTGCACACTCACTTGTTTGTATGATTAAACGGATTCCAGCTCCAAAAAAGATCTTGAATCCACCCGTATTCACACAGTCAGCTGCCCCAGCACAACAAACACCGGCAGCTCAGACAGTCGATGTTAATGTGATTAAACACTATTAAATCTCTTATTAGTGAAAGGTACATTACTGTTTGTTGCTATTGACATTTTACAGTCAACTACCTAAATGAAAGTATGAAATGTTTCATCAGTTATGGAATTGACTCTAGCCAAATCATCCTTATGAAAAATCCTAGTGATATAAATGGTGAATATTAAACATATAATGAATCGCAAATTCAAGAATGATTAACATGTTTAAAGACGCTTTAAGTAGCCTTACTTTTGTCCCTGTTCCAAACTAGATTTTGTTCCATCTGTCACTCACACAACATGAAGACACGCGTCATTATTACCTCCATGTTTGTTTGTAATGATTACACTAACTACAACTTAAACTTTTCTAAGAAGTGAAAAATGACATTATTATTACGCAAAAAGTGATGACTGTTAAATGT